CATCCTTTGAAGGTAACGATTCTTCGGCAATGGAAGTTCCGGGGGTCGACTTGCCGTCCACGGAACCCTCGTGGTGTGACTGCTCAGCGGGGAGTACATGCTCATGCTTGGTTTCGGCCCCAAGGATGTTTGTGCAGCTCAAGATATCGTGACCGCCGGTTTCGCAAATCTCACACCACAATGAATTGCCGTCATCAGAGCGCCCATCGGACTCATGCATGGTCTCCAGACGGTTGCGGGAGGAGTCCGAGGCTCCTCGGTGGTGTGAGCCAAACGGCTGATACTGACCTTCACCATGAGGTTGCTCTTGCCAGTCATTAGGGACCACCGTGCGGTCAGACAGTCGATGAGCATGGTTGATAGTGTTCGCGGTCCCGATATATCCAGCGGAGCTCGATGGTTTGTGGTGAGTCGTTGAAGCGCTGATCGTGGAGCTGCGAATACGGCTTCCACTGTTAAGCCGCAGTTGCTGTAACTCCCGCTCAAGCTCCTCGATGCGATAGTTCTTGCTCTCGGTTGCGTGCTCAAATTCCTGAATACGCTGTTCCAGATGAGCGATTTGTTCCGAGTCATGGTCCTGTCGTGAACTTGCAAGCCCGTTCTGCAGGCCAGGAAAGTTCGGATCGCCCCTGCTCAACGAATGGATGATGGCTTTGAGGCCGCGAATCTCATCGTCTTTCTGATCTAGTTCCTTCGAGTTCTGCCGACCTCCTTCTCCGGCTGAATGGGCATCCCTCAACATAGCCGCGGAATGTTCCCGTTCCTTTTTCAGCTCGAGCTTTGTCCTTTCAACCTCTCCTCGTAGAAACTCAACCTCAGCCCGAGCTTCCGCCTCGCCGCGTCTTGCGTCTTCTAGGCCCTCTTCTAGCTCCGAAACCAGCTCTTCCAGCTGCTTCAGCTGCCTGGCAACGGCCTCCACGTCCTCACCCCGGTCTTGGAGTTCTTTGTTTTGCTGCATGAGTTCGTCCAGGCGCTGTTCGTAGACCCGCTCCGTCTCCGATGCGGCTATTTCCAGCGTATCGAGGGTGCTCCTGAAATCAGCTCGATGTAGATCGAATTCTGCTGTTAACTGCGCAATCTTCTCATTCTTCTCCCGCAGCTGGGCCCTGATGGACAGGGCATCCGAACCTTCCAGGTCCTCGATTGTCCTCTGGAATTCCGCCAGTGTATTTGCCTGTTCCTCCAGCTGCTTGTCGCGGTCCAGTAGCTGCCTTTCCAGGCTCTTAATCTGATCTTTCAGTTCCTGCACCTCCGACGCCATCGAGCTGCGATGGAAGTCGGAAGTTCTAACCGAAGACATGTCATCGTCCACGCTCAAGCGGGAGGGAGCCCTATCGGATGCGCGAGACGGAGCTTTAACCGGACTTCGAGGATAGCCATTGGGACTCGGCCCTGTTCGAGAGGCGGTGGACGGTGTACGAAGACCGGCAAGGCTGAGCTTGGAGGGGGGCGGACCACGAGGCGATTCTGGGCGAGGTAGAGAGGGTCGTCTAACGCGCGGACGAGGTACTGCAGGACTGGGTCCCACGGATTTGCTGAAATTGATCGGTCGCGAAGGCGTCGGAGGGGCCGTGCTAACGGTAGGGGCGGACGTGGAAGATCGCTTCGTGACGTAGCGATTGTTGTTCATGGGAACAAAGATGCCGGAACCGGGGACGGAGGTCTTGAAATACTTTCTCCCTTCCACATCTCCACTGTTCTTCCCTCTCCTGGCATGCTCCGGAGCCAGTTCAATCCCGGCGAATTTACCTGGTTTTCCGGCGACGCTGCCCAGGTAGCGGACCGTCCCATACATGCCCCCGGGAACGTTCACAACATCACCAACCTGGATATCGTCGAGAGGCGCCATGGGGATGGAGTTTGAGAAAGAGCTTCCTCAAAGTGCTCGAGGTGACGAACGCGACCAGAGCGGAAAGGTGAAGGGGTCCAGAAGTTCAGAAGGGACACAAATCGAAGAGGGGGGAAAGAAAGAGCGGCATTAAAGGGATGATGCGGTGCAAGGAAGAACAGACAAGAGTGGAGCTCCTGCACTTTAGATCATTGACTGGTCATTGACTGATAGGTAGGAGGAAGTTTTCATGGCTTTTCTGGAAGCCAACAATGGACTGTTAACTATTAAGGGGGTTGGACGGGGTTTCGTTTTCTTTTTTCTTATTTTGCCAGTTGGGCAGGGAAGAAGCCCGAAAAAGAAGAATGAAAAGAATAGGATGGGTCAATTGGCAAAAAGGGAACGACGAATGGAGATTTAGGCATGCATTATTAGATGGAGATATGAGAGGATTGACGCTGAGAAGAGACACCGATCATCGACAATTGCACTGAAAGTCTGGTCATGATGCTTCCCCCGTTATGTATCTTCATCCTCTATCTAGATACTTTTGTACGTAGATATAATCATAATATAATAGCCATTATGATGATGATAATAATAATAACAAACAACGGAGACACGAACCATGGGTTATCTGCTGCTCCACAGCGCCCATGCGTAATCCGACTAACTCCCTCCATGGCAGCAGTAAGGCAGTTCTTCCTTTTAATCTCTGATCTGTATCTATCTATCTATTCTGTATATTGTCGATGAGACATTCATCACAGCTCTATTTCAACCTTACTGCGACATGAGCCTACACTACAGCAGTATCTATCTCACCATATCCCGACGCTAAGAATTATTACCTTGGAGTCCTCCTGATCAACATCTCTCGGGTTCGTCCGACTATCCGTTCGTCCACCTGCCACGTTCATCTCCCAAGATTCTCTCTCTCCTTGCATTCCTTATCCTTGCTCCCCGCTCCGGCCTCGAGGCCACTTGTCTCTGAATATCATCCAATCTCGCCTCCCGACTTCCATTACTGGCGCGAAGTACGTACGTGGTTGCTCTACAGTGGGACAGTGGGACCACGCAAGTCGACGATTCTGCGGAGGCACTAGATAAAGTACGACGACCGCAGATTAATGAGCTTGGAAGAGATCACGTAAAACCAGTCGATTATAATCTTATTCTGATACAGAGTCCGTCGCGACAGCTTCCCTGATTCGTCGCGCAAGATGGCCCAATATTTCTTCGATCTGCTCTACAACTTTACAGATTGCATGTGCTGCTTTCCGAGTACGCCGCAGCTGAAAATCAACAATCGCAGCTTCAAATTATTACGGCTGCTAGGTGAAGTAAGTCAATCGGATCTCCAGATCATGTTATGTCGTTGTTATACCCCCTCAGCTGACATCGCCGACTCTGCTAGGGTGGATTTTCCTACGTTTACCTCGTCCAAGATAAGGCTACGTCAGAGCTCTTCGCCTTGAAGAAGATCCGGTGTCCATTCGGTCAAGAGTCTGTTTCACAAGCTTTGAAAGAGGTCGAAGCCTACAACCTGTTCACATCACAAGCGAACATCATCCATTCGATAGACCATTGCGTATCCACAGAGCCGGGCTCGAAGTTTCGTTCCGATGGCGGCGAACCAGGGTCGAAAACCGTCTACATCCTGCTTCCTTACTACCAACGCGGGAATCTTCAAGATGCGATCAATGCGAATCTCGTGAACCATACTCGCTTTCCCGAGAAGAAGCTAATGGTGCTTATGCTGGGTGTCGCCAATGCGCTCAAAGCGATGCACCAGTATCGAGTAAAAAGTGGCGCTGGGTCCACACGCAGAGCCAAAGCGGTTAGACGCGAGGGCGAGGAGGCAGATGCAGAATTATCAATGCAAATGGGAAAACCGAAGCGTCGAGCAAGCCAGCGAGTGGACGAGGAAGATTCAGAGAATGAGCCGTTGATGGATGACGAGGTTACCAGAAGCCAGGAGGGAGTTCAGGAGGGAGACCTCCGCCCCTATGCGCATAGGGACATCAAACCTGGTGAGTTGGCGCGCCTGCAATTCAAGTGCGCGGGGGGGAACTGACCTATGGCAGGCAATATCATGATCGACGATGACGGTCAGACTCCGATTCTCATGGATCTCGGCTCCCTAGCGCCTAGCCCGATAGCTATCACTTCCCGTTCCCTGGCTCTGGCCGTCCAAGATACTGCTGCCGAGCACAGTACTATGCCGTACCGAGCGCCTGAGCTGTTCGACGTCAAGACCGGGTCGATCATTGACACCAAGGTTGATATCTGGTCCTTGGGATGTACATTGTACGCCTGTCTCGTAGGGAAAAGCCCCTTTGAAGCCCGAAGTGAGGAGACCGGCGGTAGCCTAAGTATGTGTGTGTTGGGCGGGGACTGGCGGTTCCCAGATGAGAAGCCCGGGTCTACCAAGGGTAAAGGCCGAGCTGGAGCTGATGATGCGGGTAAAGACAATACTGCAACCATCAGTGAGCCAGTGAAAGAGGTAGTCCGGAAGTGCTTACAGGTTGAGCCTGCTGACCGCCCTGATATCGATGAGCTCATTCAGATCATAAAGGACGTGATCAAGGATCTTTCAGATGACGATGGTATCGCTTCAGGGTCCGCCTAAAAGTGATTATTCTATTGGGTGTGACGTTTCCAGTCTCTACCGCGAGGCCGTCACCTTTTTTCTCTTCGCATTCTTGCAACGAACGCCTTGTCTTGACCGGGCCCATTATGTGCGGGTTGATTTGTAAAGTATGAGCCGAGTGCTCAACATATTCCCCCGGAATATCTCTTTAATGTCCACCATCTCTTCTGAAATTTGCATTTCGATTATATCTTTCTCTGAGACCACAAGGGAATCCGGTCGATGACAGACCCTCGACTAAGTCTTCACTACTTCATTCTGCCGCGATAGCGACTCTGCTTCTTGATACTACTGACGATTGGCCGTTCACACTTGCTTGACCTTGGTAACAATCCACCAGACCAAATAAGTAATGGCACATCTTCAATTCTTAGGACGTCTTCCATACGTAATGTGAGCGGACTCATGATGACGAAAACCAAAGCCTCATTCAATCAGACAGCTTGCGACAAGTGAGGCTTCTTAATGCTACCATCAAGCTGTACAGACCCTGTGAGCTCTTGATCAACAGTCGCAAACATGGTACTCAAATGGGGATCCGAGACCAAAGGTGCCGATGTAGTCAATGCATTTCCCATGAGCATCAAGAAACGAACATGTACGCCAAACACGTCAAACCCTTCAAGTACTGCAATCATAAGCTAATCATTTCCATGAGAAGTTCTCTTGACCGGAGTCAGTCGGACAGGACTACCAGCAGCAACCGCCGAGGCCCTGGCAAGCGGCGATGCGGCCGCCATTATCCTGATGGGCAAGTCCCAGGCCGAAGCGCAAGCGATGATCGACGATATCAACCTCAAACACCCCAAGGTCAAGCTGATCTTCATCTCGGTAGATTTTGGCAGGTTGGCCTCTGTGCGCGACGCGGCGCAGGCTCTTAGGAAGCTTGATGTGCCTATTGATGGGTTTGTGGGATTTCCGACGGTGATGGCTGCGCCGTGGACGAAGACGGTGGATGGAATCGAGTCTCATTTCCAGTGCAACTATCTCAGTCATTTCCTTCTGATCAATTTGATTGTGGACTTGCTGCCGGCGGGTTCAAGGGTGGTCATGATTTGCTCTAGTATCCGGCCTGAAGCTCCGCCGCCGGCGTGGGATGATCCCAATTTCGCAGTAAGTGTTTTGCTCTGGTTGGAGTTGGGGTACAGAGGGTAATCGCATGGGTATCTGTCGATTCTGCAGGATGGAAAGGCATATCATCCATTGGATGCATTTGCTTTGTCGATGCTCGCCAACGTTCAGCTGGTCAAGTGTCTGGCTATCTCGGGGTCTGGACGGTCAATGTGCACCTTTTCTGTCAATCCCGGAAGTGAGTTTGCAATCTCATCATCCTCCATCTTTGGCGTAGGCTGAACATCCTTCAGACTCCAAGCCAAGCATTCAGACTGTTGCTTCGCCAGAGCAGGTAGCTTCATGGCTCCAAAGAAAGAAAGAGTGTGCGTGCCAGAACCAGATGACTCCCTGCAGTTGATGAGTTCCTGACAGTCAGCCATGTTTGAAGTGGGGGAAGATCTACCCCTTCTTCTTCAACAAGCGCCAAAGTCAGCTTCGCAGGCAATTGCCACGATTCTCATAGCTCTTCTGGATCCAGACATCAGTGGTGAGTGGGATCCTCTCTTCTGGTTTTGTAAGATACATGTAATGTGTCAACCGGAGGCTATCGTGCTGATGGATTTGTATCTGGGAATAGAACGCTCCGGCGCATACCTAGATAATTGTCGGATTCTAGCTCTGCCGAAGATTGACTTCCCTGCTGGCGAGGAAAACGGCCGAGCGTTGTGGACACGGAGTGAGGAGATGGTAGGGCAGGCGTTTAAGCGTCTCTAGTGCTGACCAGGTTGTCCACTTATGTGTGGGAAAGTAGCTATGATTCTTCCTAGATGAGTATACCTTTAGTGATCAGATAATAGAACAAATGTGTATCCTGTAGATGTTGTTTCCTGTGGAGATGTCTGGTTGAGAGGACGATATCAACCAAAGGACTGAGGTATCTTCATGTGCGGGGAAGCCCAGCTGTCTCCAACTGGAGCACGAATGTATCGACCACTTAGACAAATCATTTCATCTCAACATGATGCCTGTCGGCGAGCCCATCCAATGATGCAGAAGACAAGGAGGGGAGAACATGGACTATCAAGCGACGGTGATAACCAACTACCCCGATGGCGCTGATGTACAAGCTAGCTCCTTGCTTAGCTCGACGGCCCATTGAGACTGTCCAATAAACCTCACCAGCAGCTCATCGTCCTTGTTCCTTAATTCCTTTTCGGACCAAAGTACCGTCAAGAGAGGAGAAAAGTCCGCTTCCATCAGTGATATGCCCCTCTCATGCTTCTGATTCATTTATCGACTACTCCGTATGGAATATGGATCATCGTCTCCTCGTGGAGAGAGCCCCCGATAACCAGTCAAGTGGGCCTCTTTGATATCTGAACTTGATGCATCCATGTATTATCATCCAGTCCCATGACAGCGGAATGCTTCCGACCCGTGCTTATCGGCAATTGTTGCGATGTGGTACAGTCGTGAGTCGTGACGCTGATATCTATCAGGAATGTGCATATCCGCCATATCGCGTCTTGGTGGATTGGAGAGGAGCAGATAACAAGTGCATACTCATACTTCCCATTCAACTTCGTACGCTCCGGTTATCTTCGAGACTAAAGCTAAAGCTTATAGCAGCAAACGTGTACCCGTGCGTGATTGATACATTCTGCAGTGAGACTTATATTTGAGCTCGCCACTCGACTCTGATCGGCAGTCCGATTGCAACCTCCATCGAGCTGGGCAGCGGTGTTTGTACATTCGGAAAATCCAAGGACATGTAAACAGCATTATTGCAATTCACAAGCACTCATACAATCAATTCTGCTTCGTCATGGCGCCTCATGTGGACAGTGATGCCATCCCAGGCACGTTCATCCTGGTAGACTTGGATGGTGTCTTGGCCACTCGTCACCTTGATAGAGGAGACAGAGATATTGTGCTTGTGCCTGAACCCTCCAATGACCCAGATGATCCCCTGAACTGGTCACCACGGCGCAAGCTACTATCTACGATCTGTGTGAGCGTGTGAGTCAACCTAGGAGGTTGTTTGATCTATAGAGTTCTTTATGAAACGGCTAATCTGCTCCCTATCGTCCAGGTACACCTTGTTTGCGGGAATCTCAACCTCGGTTGTTTATTCGGTGCTTGTTCAGCTCTCTGAAGAGACGGGTGTTGCGGTGGACACTCTCAATCAAGGAACCGGATATATGTTCTTGCTCGCAGGCTGGGGCCTTCTCTTCTGGCAACCATTTGCATTGCAGTATGGCAAACGGTTGACCTACATTCTCTCATTAGTCGGAATATTGGTGAGTCCTGCAAAAGTATTGAGACAAGGTCAAGAGACTGACAGAGAATCCTTGCAATAGGCTACCTTGATATGGGGGTACGTTATCAAGATGCTTCGTCATGGACTCTAATCGCTAATGGGGACACTCTGCTAATAGTCCTTATGTTCGTTCGAACGGCGAGTGGATTGGCCGCAGCATTCTGTCAGGCTTCTTCGTTGCTCCGATTGAAGCCCTTCCAGAAGTGACGGTCACGGATGTGGTGCGTATTTGTGGCTCAAAAGTGTATGCTACTTATTGATGAAGTCTAGTACTTTACCCATGAACGAGGGACGTATATGGGACTGTACGCTTTCTTTTTGGCCGGGAGCAACTACTTTGCGCCAGTCATATGCGGCTTCATCGCCCAATATCAGGGATGGCAATGGGTTTTCTACTGGCCTGCCATATTCTGCGCCGTAACTATCGTGTTCCTCTTTTTCTTCATGGAGGAGACAAACTACGCACGGAAACATGCCGAGACAGCCACGGTCGAGGGCGTGCTAGAGTCGTCAACGACCCCCTCTGAGCAAGCTGACCAGGAAAAGGCTTTACCTGCCACTGCACAAGCGGATGAAACCGAGTGTGGAGTTATCTATAGCAAGAAGACCTATATTCAGAAGCTGGCAATCATTGGACCTCGACAAGCCCGGAACAACATGTTTAGGAGGTTCTACCAAACGTTGTATTACCTGAGCTGGCCGGTTATCTTCTATGCTGGGTACGTCAACCGGTTCCTGATCTTGATTTCAAACACTGGACACTGACGGGGGCAGGTTTTCGTATGGCTCGTATCTGATTTGGTTCAACGTGTTGAATGCCACCGCGTCTCTTATTCTGGGGTCAGCACCGTATAATTTCAGGTAGGACTGCTGAGAGAACAACCTAGCATGCATCCGACTAAGTATGGCAGTTCATCAATGGTCGGTCTGAGCTACCTTGCATGCTGCCTAGGTGTCATTGGTGGGTGAGTTGGTCTTATGGCTAGCGAGCAATCAACATACAGGCCCTACTAAACTCAGCCTAGATCTCTTTTCACCGGCAGATTCAGTGACTGGCTTACAATTAACCTAGCTCGACGCAACGGCGGAGTGATGGAAGCCGAGCAGCGTCTCTGGCCCTTCCTTGCATGTCTGATTCTTGTCCCTGGATCCTTGCTCCTCTGGGGTGTGGGTGCAGCCCATGAGGTCCACTGGTTCGGACTTCTAGTTGCAATGTGCCTTCTTGCGCTCGCCAACACCTGCGGAATCACCCTGAGCGTCAACTACCTCGTTGACAGCTACAGGGAGCTGAGTGGCGATGCGATGGCTAGTGTGATCTTGGTTCGCAACACGATGTCGTTTGCCATCGGCTACGGGTAGGTTACGGCCCAAGCGGACTTGAATGCGAGTGCTGACGAAGACTCGATTAATATAGTATTACACCCTGGCTTCAAGACATGGGATACCAGAACTGCTTTGTGTCAGCGGCATTCATTGGCATGGCCATATCTGCCGTGTTCCTGGTGATGATCAAATGGGGAAAGACATTCCGAGCTCGCAGTCGCGACAAGTACTGGAGCATTGTCATGGAAAATCAAGCAAGGGGAATGGGACATTGATGTCTTCATGACATAACGACATACGTTTATGATATATACATCTCTCGGAACATGCAAGTAGCTATACATCTGAATACCAAGCCCTCATTCAGCCAGCTTGATATTCCCCTCAGCATCATAAACAATCTCTCGCATCTTCACACTCCGCAGATGATCCACGCCTCCCGACAGCGAACAGTCATGATAGAAAAGATACCACTTCCCCTGGAACTCCGCGATAGAATGATGCGTCGTCCACCCGAGGACCGGCTCCAGGATCCGGCCGCGGTACGTGAACGGACCCAGCGGACTATCCCCCGTCGCATACACCAGGTAATGCGTATCACCCGTCGACCATGAGAAGTAATACTTGCCGTTATACTTGTGCATCCACGCCGCCTCAAAGAACCGCCGCTCATGGTCATCCGCCGCCAGCGGCCTCCCCTCCCCATCCACAATCTCCAGCTCCCGGATCTCCCCATCAAACTCAAGCATATCCTCCGTCAGCCGCGCCACACGCGGATACAGCGCCTTCACCCCGTCCCCGCTGGGCTCCTGCGGGCCCGTCTTCGATGCATCAAACTCCCATTCCCCCTTCTCCGACTTGGACCAGCACTGCAATTGCCCGCCCCAGATCCCGCCGAAGTACAGATACGCCTGCCCGTCCTCGTCGACAAACGACGCCGGGTCAATGCTGTAGCTGCCCCGGATGGGATTCGGCTGCGGCGCGAACGGCCCCTCGGGCTTATCGCCCACCGCGACGCCGATGCGGAAGATCCCCTCGCGATCGCGCGCGGGGAAGTACAGGTAGTACTTCCCGTTCTTGGAGGCGGCGTCGGGAGCCCAGAGCTGCTTGGAGACCCAGGGGACGTCGGAGTCCTTGAGGACGACGCCGTGGTCTGTGACGGGGCCGCCGACGGTCTCCATCGAGAAGACGTGGTAGTCGTTCATGTCGTATTGGTCGCCATTGTCGTTGAACTGGATGTCTGTCTCGCGGTCGTGCGAGGGGTAGATGTATAGTTTGTTGTTGAAGACGTGGGCGGAGGGGTCCGCGGTGTAGATGTGTTTGACGAGGGGTTCTCTGGCCATTGTTATTTTCTTCCCTGTGTTTCAAGGACGGCCTAGTCTAGCGAGTAAAGAAGTGATTGCCGTGAGCATTCTGATATCGACAGTGCCGCTGGATTCTTATAGCATCTCAGTGCCTCTCGGGTTTATCCGACTCAGGCTAAAACACCAGAAACCAAGAAATTACCCCACCACTCCATCAGGCTAAACGGGGTATTAGATTTATTGGAGATGCCTTTAATCAAATAGATTGGATAATATGATTTGAATCGCATCGAATTGAAATGTGGTCCCTGTCTCCAATGAGTATGCGTTTGGCTGAATGTAGATATCTATCAAGGCTGAATATGCACGCGCAGCATCACAACTCCCGCAAAACGAACAAAGACAAACAAAGACGACGCACCTTTCAGACCCCAACTGAATAGGGTCTGAAGAATCAACACCCCCATGCCTTCCACCGCAAAATAGCATCAGGATCATCCCGCTGCGCCTGCAAAAGACCCTGCTCCCACTCCCACTCCATCCTCGCCAGAAGCTCCTCCTCCGTTTCGTCCTCACTCGCAGATCCTGCCAGCGTCTCTCTATGATCACTAACAGTAGGCGACTCACACCCCCTCAGCCCAATAAAGCGACCAAACCGTCGCCGCTTCGTACGGAGGTTGACGCTCTTCTCGCCCTGTGTACCGATCCACGCGGGGATCGACACGGGGTATGCCGTCGTGGCTTCCACCGGGGGCCATACCTGGTGGAAGTGACGAGCTAGATCGTCCAGTTGCCGGGAGGTGAGTAGGTGGTAGGCGAGGAGGGTCTTGGGGAATTTGGGATGCTGCAGCCCCGTGGTGCTGGAGACGAGGGGGCAGAGCGGGGTGCGTAGATGGCGGAGGATGGACTGGAAGGATGGATGGGCCTTGCTGGGTCCTAACCCTGGTCTTGATTCCACTTGTGATGGTGACTGCGATGGCTTGGCTGTCAATCGGTTCGAAGTCGAGTTTGTGGGTGTTGACGGTGAGAATGTGCAGGAGATACTGGGGGATTGAGGTGACGAAGGGTCTATCACGATACGGGGAAGGGAGGGATTCTTGCCGCCCTGCATTCTGTATATGGAAGAATTAATTTCCTGGTCAAAGGTGAGATATAGACTTGGACTTCTCTGTCAGTTCGCTTCTTGTGTTGCTGCGTGGGAGTAGATTGCTCAAATCAAAGCAGTTGGATCGTAGCTGTGAGATCATAGAGACGAGAGCAGGCAATCGTCGCTTATATACGGTTTCATCATAAACCATGAAACAGCTGCTGTATGTCACAAAGATTTATGGCGAAGAAAAGCCAATGACAAGAATAGCAATTCTTTGTTGGTGCCAACAAACCAGCAGTTGACCATATTGGACTCAGCCTTTGTCTCAAAGGCTTTTCCGTTTCATCCTAGAAAATGAAAAATCAAACAATAAGATCATTCAACAATGTAATGAGCCATCCATTGAGGATAATCAACAAAGGATTATGAGACAGAATCTCGAATTCAAAGGATACCGACGCGGCTATATCAAAAGGTCATTGTGCACATCCAAGACTACAAATGCAGAGTCGTTACAGATACATCAGACTATGAAAGAGATAGACCAGCTACACGCTTCTCCAACGGTGTCTTCTTCGAGGTAAAGGCATCACCCTTCTCATCGGTCACTGGAGGCAAGCCGACATACTTGTTGATCCAGTTGAAAACAGTCTGGTGCCAGACGAGAGAGTTCTCCGGGTTCAGCACCCAGTGGTTTTCGTCTGGGAAGGTCAGGAAGGCACTCTCAACTCCTCTCATTTGCAGGATGTTGAACGCCGCCAGTCCCTCGGCTATTGTCAAACGGTAGTCGAGCTCATTGTGAATGATCAGATGCGGTGTCTGCCAATGTTCCGTAAAACGAGACGGATCCCACTTTTCCCAGTTCTCTGGGACCTTCCAGATCGGGCCTCCCAGATCATGGAGCGGAAAGTATTGTTCCTCACTAGCAAGCTGAGAGGTCATGCTGAACACTCCGTCGTGGGTGACGAGCGCCTTGAATCTGCGGCCGAGCGGATGGCCCTGGATCCAGTTCATCATATAACCACCATAAGACGCTCCAAGTGCAACGGCTCTAGTGGTGTCAACATAATCCAGATTCTCTTCGATGTAGTCAAATCCTTTTTCGATGTCGATATAAGGAAGGCCTCCCCATGAACCACGGATCGCGTCCGTAAATGGTTGCCCGTATCCGGTGCTGCCTCGGGGATTGGGCGTAATGACGACGTAACCCTGCTCAGCAAACACGGCAGGATTCCATCGAGTGCTCCATTGATCATTCCATGCTCCCTGGGGCCCTCCATGAATCAGATAAGCGAGCGGATACTTGTCGCCAGGCTTGAAATTGGACGGTTTGACCACCCACGCATGTACGGGGTGATCCTCAGCGCCTCTGAACCAAATCTCATCTACCTGTGTGGGTGAAAGGCCAAAGGCGGTGCCTCCACGGCCAATAGATGAGACGACCCTGACGTTGGAGGCATCCTGGGTGTCAATGATGGTCCACAAGCTATTGTCCACCAAATTGTTGCTGGAGATCAACAGCTTCGATGAATTCGCCCCTAAGGGGAAAACATCCGTAACATAACCAGAATGCGTGAGCTTCTTCAACGCATCGGGCGTACTATGGCGGACATTGTCGAGAGGAAGTTGATACAAAACGCCACGGCCCAGCTCCTCGACCTGAACGAATAATGATTGATCGTCCTTAGCAAAGGTCAATCCCGACGGACTGAGATCCCACTGTCCCTTGCCATCAGCAGAGGCAAAAACCTCAATCATCTCACCACTCCAAGGGTTTGGAACATATAAAATTCTGTTCTTGTCCGACTCATAGCCATCCTCACGCATCGCGAGGAGAGCAATCGAGCTGCCGTCAGACGAAAGGACAGGGGATGACATAGCGCCCTCGAGACCCTTGACCGTGCACATCTTGGCTTCCAGCGCGCCCACACCGGTCCACGAGAACATCGGACAGTAGTAGCACGAGCAGGAAGTGTGCGTCGCGGGGTTGAGATTAGGATCTTTCGCAACAAACACAATTGCTGACGGGCTGATGTCGAAATCGCCTGAGCCGCCAAAAGGTGGGATAGGCGACTCAACCCCAGTCAGCCCGCAAACCGAGATCAGGTTCGTCAACCCAGAGACGGAATATCTGCCTGCCTGCCGAGTGGCAGGGGACAAGGGTGCGCGCTGCAGCAAGCCATACCAAATGGCGTTGCGCTGTGGCTCAATCCACGAGTCCCAGTGTCGGACAAAGAGGGACGTATACAGCCTGCCTGAACTGAGAGGCTTCTTGGTGTCGTGTGGATTGTACAATGACCCATCCGGGTTGGCCTTCCCAGCCACCGCGAACCCAACCTTGCCCGGTTCGACAACAGTCACCTTGAGATCCGACACGGGACCGGGAACAGTGCCCGCAGTGTAGGTCTTGTCGACTTCCCGCGCGTCTCCGACAATGAAGCTGGTGTTGCCATTTGCTTTTGTCTTCAGCCAGACCAGCTGGTCGCTGTTATCCAGCCACTGTGGGCTGCTGGCGCCCGGGTCGTTCGTGATGAGGGCTGATCGGCCGGTGGCAATGTCTAGTACGCGGATCTCATTGGTCTTGGAATGAGAGTCGAAGGAGTAGGTTGTCTGTGTGTAGACGGCAAGTGTCCCTGAAGAGTTGGGGATGGGCCCAGAGCGGCGGGGAGCTCCCAGTAAGACCCTGATCAAGTCAGCGACCCGAATTGTGTTAAAACATGCCTGTTTTCGACTCGAGGACTTCACAGGCTCTAGGAATAGACATGACTGCCTTTTTTGAAAGACGAATGTCTACTTACTCCGGAGTAAACTTCATTGATCGGATGGTCATGAGTGATAAGAGCTGTCTCGATAAGATCGGCGCCAAGCGTTTAGGGGAAGACAATGCAATTGGGTTGAACAGACAAAACTGTGTAATTTATGGATAATGGATTATTATACTGTGTATATGGCAAGCAGTGAGATACAACAATGATGGACGCTGTCAGATCAGGAGGGGGTTGTGGAGGAGATGGAAGGGGGAAGAGAAGAGGAGGTTGGAGAAATGGAGAGCTGCCTGGTATTGCGTGAGGAGAAGCCAAGCAGATCAACGTTTAGTACTGAGTCTATCTACGGAGTACTTCACATAATAAATATTATTTGTGATATATCATACCCTGAAGATCATTGAATGATGGTGGTGAATATAACTACACTCATCAGAGATAATCGATAGAAATGCTACAAAAAAGACGCTGACAACTGGACGTGATCTGAAATCTTGGATTGAACATTCCTATTATCATTGCTTCCACATAGACCGTATAATTACAACAAAGAAAAATAAAACAGACGGGTCTAGATGCCAACAAATTTTATAGGCCCTTTACTCCTCTTCCTCCTCACTCTCATCCTCTTCCATGCCTTCAGCTGCCGTCACAGTAAACGTGGGGGCTTGATCGACACCCACATAGCTGTCGCACATTAGGTACAGCGTCAACTCATGCTCACCAGGCGTGGGCACAATGTACTCCAGGCGCAACTCCAATTTGCGTCCGATGGTAACTCGCTTGATGGCAAGCAAATTCTTCGTCTTCTCGTCTCCCACCACCAACCACCAATTCTCCATCTTCTTGCTGGGGTAGAACGGGGCGTGTACAGTGGTGTCAGGCTCCTCGTCCTCTTCGACTTCCCGTTCGATCTTGATTTTGAGATACGCCGGCTCGCCGGATGTGATATTCTCACAATCCTCCACCTGGAAGTCAAGGTCAAGGTTGGGATACTTCTCGTTCGTGAACGCGGCAGCCTGAGCCAACTGTGAGTTATCGAGACCAAGTCGCTTGACCAACGTGGTGTAGTCCTTGTTCTCGGACGGATCCATCGCTTCCATGAACTCGAAGATGTCATTGATGTTGTATTCATTGGCGACCTTGATGGCTTCAGGGCCAAAGTGAGGAATCTGCTTAAGAGGGCTATCCCGATCCCACATGGCTTGGACGACCATCTGTGACATTTCCATGGCATTCATCGCGTTCAAGTGACCCTCAGATGAGAGAACATCGACACATGCACTGAGAAGGTTGAGAACCTTGCTGACAATGACCTCCTGGTCCTTGGCAAGGTCAATGGGCAGTTGCATGCGGGAGAAGTGAGCTTGCAGGAGAACAAAGGCCTTGAAGTGAGGCGAGTCGTAGGCGGGTTGTGACATCTTGACGGGTACGCGATCGTACACCCGTCGTAGAATGTGGTCTTCGTGTCGACGCATCTGAATCGATTCGAATTCCGTGGCCGAGGTGATAATCTCCAGAATACCCTTGAGCTTCGTGCGAGCGCTGAGCGAAAGGAGGAAGGTCTGCATGGTGATGAAGGAAATGTTGTAGTAAGCGCCAATCATGGCCGCATTGAGGGGCGAAACGCTGTCATCCTCTTCATCCAGATCAATGATCTTAGCCTCCGACAGCTCCTTCAATGTGTTCTCCACCAACTCGGACAAGAAAGTGCTGAGACCTTCGTGGCTAACGTCACTTAAACCGTAGAAGCTGGGGTTGGCAAGGAGACGGCGGTAAAAATACGTGTAAGTCATCCAATCCACGGCGTCCTGGGTCGAAGTGACTGTCCTTGTGCTGATCTCGGTAACAAATGCGTCATGTAAGTACAATTGCAAATGACTTTCGACGGGCAAAGCTTCGTTAAGGAACTTCTTGTAATACTCGCGCTTGACTGCAGGTACCATCAGGACACCTCGGCCAATCTTGTCCTCCTTAGGACGAGTAGCTTTGCCGAACATCTGCAGGATTTCGCTGATGGGATAGTCGATATAACGGTGCTCGCGGCCTTCAAAGAATTGTGTTCCCATGACGATTACAAGATGCGCAGTGAGATTCAGCTCCCAGCAGACATCGCGTGAAGCAAGTAGAACCTGAATCGCACCAATGGTGAAGAGGTGCGAAACGATGCGCTTGTCAGTGGCGCTAAGAGCTTCGTGATAGTATCCAATGCCGTGGGAGAGCGATTCTGCCAGCGTCCGTTCCTGAACCCGATTC